CTTCAATACTGTTTTCCACAATAGTAGTCACCTTCCACCATCATCATCATGTACCATCATCACCCATCAAGTTAATTTTTCTTATCTCAACCATCCCTGCTTCTCTCCCCAACTAACATCATCCAATTGCTTGCCAATGACTACCATTATCACCTATCGCAACTTATTACTTCCATTACAGCTCTTGCATCTCGCATCACCATCCCCAGACATTTTCTCTCAAACACTACTTCTGCCATCACTAATCACTCATAATCAAGCTCCCGAACCATAATATGATCCAACGCAAAGCAACCTAACCCGTAACCACCGCCATCTAAAATTACCAACAACAAACTATGAAGTAATCAGATGTGTCAAACTTCTTTGCTTGCAAATGCATTTTTCAGCTTTCATCTACACAAATAATTGTGTGCATAGTCTTATTTAATTTCAACACTTTGGAATCAAAGTTATGTTTCAATGCAATCAAGAGCACCTAAATATCTTTCCTGATGTCAAACAATTGGTCGACTTGCAAATCTTCATCATCAGGAATCACACATGATGTATGAGAAGATCGTAAATTAGGTCTAGTTTGGGAGTTCCGCTAAACTCATGTCTACTTTGTTGATAAAGCAACAGAATCATAGTTTGTAAATGGAATTTCTTCCTCATTATCTTGAACTATCTCATAGAGACTGTATTGTAGCATTTGTCTCCGAAATAACTACATGATCCTTTCGAGCAAACTCTATCATGTCCTAAAAATCATCCACATTATAATTTGTTTCATCAACAACTTCATGTTCATTCTCAGAAATATTCTTCCTCACAAGAGTACACAGAAGAGGAGAATGGTAATTTTGGTTGAGGTCAATTATCCCCTTCGATTTCATGTGGAAATAATCTTCGGCTGTGGAACTGAAAAATTATGTATTGTCAGGAAAATGAAATCTGAATTTAATCTCGTATTCAAAGAAATCAACACTAAAGAGGTTTTGTACATCATGATACATGTCTATATATGATGTATTTATTGATATAAGAATCGCAACAACACCTTCTTCATTATTCCCTGTCTATATTCATGTTCATCAACAATGGTCATTCATTACAAACTTATCGAAGTAACAAATAGTGAGAGTGTCAAATCTATATCTTTATTTCAACAAAAAATGCGAAAAAGTTAGCTAAGTATGACTGCTAACTCAGACAATCGATAATGCCTGTTAAGAGCCGATCTGTTAATCGACGTTTCGTTACAATTGGTCAATTAATCAATCAACTACAAGCAAGCAATATTGAACGCCACCTATTAAGTGTCGATCGATTAACTAATTGTTTGTTAACTGATGATCCTTAAATGACTAACTCTAATAGGCATTATCGATCGTCTATTAACAATCTATTTGTTAATATATGGATGGTTAATCGATCGTGCTATCAGTTAACCAACTGCCTCTTAACATGAGATTGGTTAACATTTCGTCTATTTCCACAACATAGAATGCATATTTCTTGCTAATAAATTTGCACAAAATTCACATATGTGTCCAATCATTTTTGCCCATTTAGGGTGTTTTTGATGGATATTATTGAGTAAAGAATGTATTTTAAATAATGATATGATGAGAAACATGTAGTTAAAAAGTAAAAAAAAGTTATTGATGTGATGAAAAATATTATTTTATTGAAGAATATTTGGTTAAAAATGAATTTTGAAATAATGTGTGTCAAACAGGGTCTTATTTAAACATGAGCAACGTACCATTTAACAATTATAAATAAATTACAAACTAATGAAACACGTGAAAGTTAAATGTCAATGCAAAATGTTGAAATGTTGGCTCTTAATAATTGTTCACCATATGCTTTGATTGAGTTTTGGGACAAATATGAACAAATATAACAGCAATTAGTCAGGATTTAAGTGTTGAGGGAGATGAAATATTGGCGGAATGAAAGAACTATTGCTTTGTTTAAATTTTGAAATTTGAATTGTGTCATATATTCTTTTTATATTTGATTTTCTTTTAATTTTAACTTATTTTTAAATCCTTTTTTGAATTTTTATCAAGTTAAAATCAACAAATAATTTTAACCACGTATTTTATGAAATTCACAATTTTTATCACATATTTCCATTAATTTTTACCAAAATTTGCTAAAAATTTAATTTTACTCTCCACCAAATACGGGGCTAATAATTCTTAAATCCTTCAGATATTTACGACTTAAAATTTGTAAATTTGAGTGGACTCTTTGAGCCTGTTTGGTACAGATTTTTATTTTCTACAGTAAATCAATTCTCATTTTCAACCACACATTCTTCAATAAAATAATATTTTCCATCACATCAATACTTTTTTCTTCTTTTTCAACCACACATTTCCCATCATATCACTATTCAAAAATCAATTTT